GGGATGTCGGTGAGGTTGAGTCGGTTATGAAAGCCTTCCAGGTTGTTGTTCGTCCTGGGACCTGTTGTACCGTGATGGTTCCACAGTGGTAGGGGGAATCGTGCTCCGTGGTCGACCCAGGTAGTGACGATGTAGTCGTTGAAGGCGACAGCTCTTGGTACATCTGGTGTGTTGTCCATTGCGTCAACCCACGAGTCCTGGATCTTGTTCTTGGGGAGTAGGGGTAGGCCAGCTGCTCTTCTTATCCACTTGCAGACTTCAGGATCTTCTCGATACGCGACAGCTAGTCCCAGATCCTGGACCTTCCTCCATATCGCCCGGCAGTAATGGAAGAAACATCCCTTCACATCGGCAGTAGGAAACACGACTTGGACAGCACGAATAGCAGCCATCTCAAAGTCTGTCTGGATGCATGACGGGACAAGGGGTCTGTTTAGTCTCTGTTGAACTTCATCCTTGAGTAGCCTGAAGAGTCTTGAGTAGGTGTCAGTCTGACGGTCGGGGAGTAAGGCGAAGATGAGGGGATAGGTCGTGGCTCCGAGTCTTGCATGGATGATGTACACTTGATTCCATCACCGTCAGCAAACAGGAGGAAGGGTCGTCCATCTGATGTCTGCGTCCATCTTAACAACAACAACAACAAACAAATCAGTCTACTCTGGGCCCCGGGACACACGCATATACCAGGCAATAACACAGCACACATCGCAGCCAATATAGCCACCCAACAGCCCTCATTAGAAATCTATTTCCATACCTCCAAAGCGGAGATCAAGAACAAATTTATAACAGCTCTAACCATTTGGACAATATTATATCAAGAATCATCAGCGGAAATACCAACCTGAACCACAATCTACACAAACAAGGCAGACACCCGGACGGGAAATGTACATATTGTAATCAACCAGAAGACTTATATCATATTTTTAACAGCTGTCCTTTCTATAACACCCTTCACTCCGAACTTTATCACGCTATCCCTCCTAACTATAAACAAAACCTCACACTACTTTTCAACCCTTCCAACCCTATCTACATCTTCAATGCAATAACGCAATTCATCATCAAAGCCGACCTTATGGACCGAATTTAGAACCTCCCAAACAAATCTATACAACATAACTATGCCCTAGTAAACAAACACCCCAACTTTCGGATCGGGATCGAAATTTCCAACACGAGTCGCCCTCTCCGACGTCCGTGCCTATAACTCCAGTGGTAACCTCCCAAAACCCCTACTTCCCATTTCCCCTACAGCTTTTAGACAACAAAGTTCACGGTCCATGGCACTGCTAATCCCTAGTCTGTTACCTATTTCATACAATGGAACAACCCAAGAAACACGAATAGATTGAGATAAATATTTAATTACGATTACGATATTATTCAAATTTCATAATACATTATAATAAAATGTTCATTTTTCAAATTTCATAATACATTATTATAAAATGTTCATTTTTCAAAATTCATAATACATTATAACAAAATGTTCATAATTCACTCTTTATCCCAGCCTGAGGAAATGGCCAACCGCATCTAGAAACTACATTGGGGATTTCACCTCTCTATTCAACTCGTCCTTCAGGCGGCAGAGACGGTTCTCCATCTCTCTGTACACTCTCTTCCTGCCTCTTGGAGCTGCTCCAAAGTCGAGCTGTAAAATCTTAGCTCGTTCTGCCTGTTCCACCTTCCTGACTACCTCCACAAATCGTTAGATGTTGGGATGTCGGTGAGGTTGAGTCGGTTATGAAAGCCTTCCAGGTTGTTGTTCGTCCTGGGACCTGTTGTACCGTGATGGTTCCACAGTGGTAGGGGGAATCGTGCTCCGTGGTCGACCCAGGTAGTGACGATGTAGTCGTTGAAGGCGACAGCTCTTGGTACATCTGGTGTGTTGTCCATTGCGTCAACCCACGAGTCCTGGATCTTGTTCTTGGGGAGTAGGGGTAGGCCAGCTGCTCTTCTTATCCACTTGCAGACTTCAGGATCTTCTCGATACGCGACAGCTAGTCCCAGATCCTGGACCTTCCTCCATATCGCCCGGCAGTAATGGAAGAAACATCCCTTCACATCGGCAGTAGGAAACACGACTTGGACAGCACGAATAGCAGCCATCTCAAAGTCTGTCTGGATGCATGACGGGACAAGGGGTCTGTTTAGTCTCTGTTGAACTTCATCCTTGAGTAGCCTGAAGAGTCTTGAGTAGGTGTCAGTCTGACGGTCGGGGAGTAAGGCGAAGATGAGGGGATAGGTCGTGGCTCCGAGTCTTGCATGGATGATGTACACTTGATTCCATCACCGTCAGCAAACAGGAGGAAGGGTCGTCCATCTGATGTCTGCGTCCATCTTAACAACAACAACAACAAACAAATCAGTCTACTCTGGGCCCCGGGACACACGCATATACCAGGCAATAACACAGCACACATCGCAGCCAATATAGCCACCCAACAGCCCTCATTAGAAATCTATTTCCATACCTCCAAAGCGGAGATCAAGAACAAATTTATAACAGCTCTAACCATTTGGACAATATTATATCAAGAATCATCAGCGGAAATACCAACCTGAACCACAATCTACACAAACAAGGCAGACACCCGGACGGGAAATGTACATATTGTAATCAACCAGAAGACTTATATCATATTTTTAACAGCTGTCCTTTCTATAACACCCTTCACTCCGAACTTTATCACGCTATCCCTCCTAACTATAAACAAAACCTCACACTACTTTTCAACCCTTCCAACCCTATCTACATCTTCAATGCAATAACGCAATTCATCATCAAAGCCGACCTTATGGACCGAATTTAGAACCTCCCAAACAAATCTATACAACATAACTATGCCCTAGTAAACAAACACCCCAACTTTCGGATCGGGATCGAAATTTCCAACACGAGTCGCCCTCTCCGACGTCCGTGCCTATAACTCCAGTGGTAACCTCCCAAAACCCCTACTTCCCATTTCCCCTACAGCTTTTAGACAACAAAGTTCACGGTCCATGGCACTGCTAATCCCTAGTCTGTTACCTATTTCATACAATGGAACAACCCAAGAAACACGAATAGATTGAGATAAATATTTAATTACGATTACGATATTATTCAAATTTCATAATACATTATAATAAAATGTTCATTTTTCAAATTTCATAATACATTATTATAAAATGTTCATTTTTCAAAATTCATAATACATTATAACAAAATGTTCATAATTCACTCTTTATCCCAGCCTGAGGAAATGGCCAACCGCATCTAGAAACTACATTGGGGATTTCACCTCTCTATTCAACTCGTCCTTCAGGCGGCAGAGACGGTTCTCCATCTCTCTGTACACTCTCTTCCTGCCTCTTGGAGCTGCTCCAAAGTCGAGCTGTAAAATCTTAGCTCGTTCTGCCTGTTCCACCTTCCTGACTACCTCCACAAATCGTTAGATGTTGGGATGTCGGTGAGGTTGAGTCGGTTATGAAAGCCTTCCAGGTTGTTGTTCGTCCTGGGACCTGTTGTACCGTGATGGTTCCACAGTGGTAGGGGGAATCGTGCTCCGTGGTCGACCCAGGTAGTGACGATGTAGTCGTTGAAGGCGACAGCTCTTGGTACATCTGGTGTGTTGTCCATTGCGTCAACCCACGAGTCCTGGATCTTGTTCTTGGGGAGTAGGGGTAGGCCAGCTGCTCTTCTTATCCACTTGCAGACTTCAGGATCTTCTCGATACGCGACAGCTAGTCCCAGATCCTGGACCTTCCTCCATATCGCCCGGCAGTAATGGAAGAAACATCCCTTCACATCGGCAGTAGGAAACACGACTTGGACAGCACGAATAGCAGCCATCTCAAAGTCTGTCTGGATGCATGACGGGACAAGGGGTCTGTTTAGTCTCTGTTGAACTTCATCCTTGAGTAGCCTGAAGAGTCTTGAGTAGGTGTCAGTCTGACGGTCGGGGAGTAAGGCGAAGATGAGGGGATAGGTCGTGGCTCCGAGTCTTGCATGGATGATGTACACTTGATTCCATCACCGTCAGCAAACAGGAGGAAGGGTCGTCCATCTGATGTCTGCGTCCAGGAATCCTGGAGATCCACCTCCGATCTTGTCTGTGGCAAAACAGGAATCGTCTTCTGTCTGTGCCGGTACAACGCGCTTCTCATGGTGGGGAAGGGTGTCATCATTCCTGTCTCGCCGTTGTTCAAGTTGGAGAGTTCGTCGTTGTAGAGGGTGTGCATCGGGGTTTACTCTTCTCTCGCTCTCTTCCTCAGGGTGCTCATAAACCGGACCTTCTGGCTATCCTCAGGGGCATGGTTAACCATACACTAACACTAACACTACACTAATAGAGTCGTTAAGCCAGCCGGCGCCAACAACAAGCCCACACCGCACGCCACCAAACTACGTCACAACCCCTCCGGGACAACTGGCTTATACAGCTGTAACATTTACCCTTGTTTTTTTCTTTATTTAACTATTTCCCATATTTAAATAATGCAGGCCAACTGCATATCTTCAATTTCCCAATATGCTATACCCTTACCTCACTGTCCCCCTGTAAAATATAGTAAAGGCCCTTAACGTCTCCTCCCAAGAATAACACCCATAATAATAATACTCTCGAAGTACAGTAATTAGGATCATTTAGGTTACTCCCCGGCTAGTTATAGTTTTTTGGGTATGGTGATTTTCATATTTAATCTATTTATCTTTACTTCCCCACCTATCCCGTCCGCGAAATGCAATAAATGCGAAGCGGACGTAAAACCTATAAATCAGTCAGGTGACATTTTATCACTATGGCTGGTATCAGGAAAGTGGAGTATGTCATGTCACAGAAGGGTACTGTGCAGGTATTCCTAGATGACTATCGTTATAACAAGAATGTTGTCAGACAGACATGCATTCACTGGAAGTGTGTAGACTCCACTTGTAAGGGCAGATGCACCACTGTAGGTGACGTCATCAGAAATGGCTCAGCAGTAGAGTAAGATTCATCAGTACCATGAGGAAGAGGGCCAGAGAAGAAACTATGTCGATGCGTACCCTGTACAACGGTGAGGTAGCTACAGAAGACCAGCCACAGCTGCTGCCATCGTTCCCATCCATGAGCAGTGCCTTGTACCGGCACAGGCGGAAGAAAAACCCAGCACTCCCACAGACAAGAGCTGAAGTCCAATTTGAAGGAAACTGGACTGAAACAACAGACAGCCGCCCATTCCTGCTTTTCACTGATTGCGATGCCAACAAGATTGTTGTATTTTCTACCCATGGCCAACTCCAAGCTTTGCAGTCTGCAGACACTGTATACATGGACGGAACATTTACATCTTGCCCAGATCTGTGGAACCAGGTATACATCATACATGCAAGAAGTCGTTCCTGTATGTGCCCACTTGTCTTCGCCCTCCTGCCTGACAGACAGACCACAACTTACACCAGACTGTTCAGCCGACTCAAAACAGAAGTCCAACAGAGATTCAACCGTCCCCTCGCTCCTGCCACTGTCCAGACGGATTTTGAGAAGGCTGCCATTCGTGCCGTCAACACAGAGTTCCCGAATGCCGACGTCAAAGGTTGTTTTTTTTCATTATTGTCAGGCGATCTGGCGGAAGACACAGGATCTTGGATTAGCAGTACAGTACAAGGAAGATCCTGGATCAGAAGAGCTGCTGGATTTGCCCTCCTGCCCTTGCGTGATGTCCAGGACACCTGGTTGGATGCTAAGCAGGCAACTCCACCAGTTCCGAGAACTGAAGACTTCAATGACTATATGGTCATCAATTGACGATGATGCTCGGTTTCCAATACCTCTCTTGAATCACCACCAGACAGCCGGCCCTCGCACCAACAACAATCTTGAGGGATTTCACCATGGCCTTAACAGAACCTTACCCCACCGCCACCCGAATATCTACCGATTTGTAGAAGTGATTAAGAAGATTGAGTGTGCAGACAGGACAAAAACAGTTAGACTTTGGTGCCGCCCCACCCAGCAGGAAGCGAGTATACAGAGAGACTGAAAATGGCCTGAGACGTCTTAAGGACATGTTGACTCAAGGACAGAAAACCCCAATCGAGTTCCTTGATGCTGTTGGTCATCATCTCAAACTTGGTTAAGAGACTTGAAATATAGTAGTTTTAGTGCTGTATGTGACAGAGTGAGGCCAGTTGTGACATTAAATTAGTGTGTGTACTATTTATTTATACCAGTGGTATATATAAGTTCATTATAAGTTGCCATTTTTTAAACATTTTTTCATAAGATGAAAGAAATGATGGTGCAGAAAAAAGACTAGCAATTAACATTATAACCGTGATGCAAATGCGTTACTTAATACAGTCCACAAAGAACAATATACAGGGCGCCTTTTTACTATTTATTCGTTATATGATATCAATAATTCATTTATGGATACTAAAGAATGAATTTATATCACACATTTGATTGTTTTTTATCATGAAATGTTTATTAATATCGAAAATCGGTTTTTAGATATCAATAACTGAATTCATTATCAAATGATGTACTTTATCATCTAAAAAATAAAATATGGTATTGTATCTATAGCCTTCGTCTCCGTGAACTTTATGCCTATTTTTTAATAATTCGTGAAGAAAGGTACAGTTTCGTAACATTTGCATATATAGTCATATTCAGATGATGTCTCATTGTAGTTTAATGCGATTTGAATATTATTATTTACTATCGTACTTACTTATTGTTTTAAATGAGACGTTTAAATTCAGATGTCACCACAAATTACAATTATTGCTTGTACGTTCACCACAATTGACAAATACTCTAAAATCTATGACTAGTAAACCATTAATGTACGTTGAAAAATATTATAATGTAAATGCCAAAATGTTGTATCCAGGATCAAGTAGAAGATATATGGAGAGCAGCGCTGGAAATTTATTCAACAGGCCCGTGAAAACAACACTCCTTTAGCTCAATGTTTACCACTCCTGGCGGCCATTATGCGACGGCCATCTTACACACAACAGTTTTTAGTCTCAATATCATTTTGAGCCTAAAATTTGGAATTTTAAGAAGTGTGGAAATTCATGCCAGAATTGTAAATTTTCACCAGGTATTAATTTACAATTCTGGCATGAATTTCCACACTTCTTAAAATTCCAAATTTTAGGCTCAAAATGATATTGAGACTAAAAACTGTTGTGTGTAAGATGGCCGTCGCATAATGGCCGCCAGGAGTGGTAAACATTGAGCTAAAGGAGTGTTGTTTTCACGGGCCTGTTGAATAAATTTCCAGCGCTGCTCTCCATATATCTTCTACTTGGTCAAAATCTTCAAAATTAGACGAAAAAATGTTTATTCCACATATCATTTGCGCAGTGTTCATAGATGTTCAAAGTCTTTTTTGAGCCTAAAATTTGGAATTTTAAGAAGTGTGCAAATTCATGCAAGAATTGTAAATTTTCACCACCCCTGGGTGGTCAAAATCTTCAAAATTAGACAAAAACAATTTAGTCCCCATATCATTTGCGCAGTGCCCATAGATGTTCAAAAGTCTATTTTGAGCCTAAATTTTGGAATTTTGACAAATGTGCAATTTCTTGCCACAATTGTAAATTTTCACCACCCTGGGGTGGTCAAAATCAGAAAAATTAGACAAAAAAATTTTAATCCCCATATCATCTGCGCAGTGTCCATAGATGTTCAAAAGTCTATATTGAGCCTAAATTTTGGAATTTTGACAAATGTGCAAATTCATGCCAGAATTGTAAATTTTCACCACTCCGGGGTGGTCAAAATCAGAAAAATCGAAAAAAATTTTTAGTCCCCATATCATTTGCGTAGTGTCCACAGATGTTCAAAAGTCTATTTTGAGCCTAACTTTTGGAATTTTGACAAATATGCAAATTCTTGCCAAAATTGTAAATTTTCACCACCCTGGGGTGGTCAAATTCGTCAAAATTAGACGAAATTTTTTTAGTCCCCATATCATTTGCGCAGTGTCCATAGATGTTCAAAAGTCTATATTGAGCCTAAATTTTGGAATTTTGACAAATGTGCAAATTCATGCCAGAATTGTAAATTTTCACCACCCCGGGGTGGTCAAAATCAGAAAAATCGAAAAAAAGTTTTTAGTCCCCATGTCATTTACGCAATGTCCATAGATGTTTAAAAGTCTTTTTTGAGCCTTAAATTTGGAATTTTAAGAAGTGTGCAAATTCATGCCAGAATTGTAAATTTTCACCACCCCGGGGTGGTCAAAATCTTCAAAATTAGACAAAAAATGTTTAGTCCCCATATCATTTGCGCAGTGTCCATAGATGTTCAAAAGTCTTTTTGAGCCTTAAATTTGGAATTTTAAGAAATGTGCAAATTCATGCCAGAATTGTAAAATTTCACCACCCCGGGGTGGTCAAAATCATCAAAATTACACGAAAATTTTTTTAGTCCACATATCATTTGCATTGTGTCCACAGATGTTCAAAAGTCTATTTTGAGCCTAAACTTTGGAATTTTGACAAATATGCAAATTCTTGCCAGAATTGTAAATTTTCACCACCCCGGGGTGGTCAAATTCATGAAAATTATACGAAATTTTTTTAGTCCACATATCATTTGCGCAGTGTCCATAGACGTTCAAAAGTCTTTTTTCAGCCTAAAATTTGGAATTTTGAAAAATATGCAAATTCATGCCATAATTGTAAATTTTCACCACCCCGGGGTGGTCAAATTCATCAAAATCGAAAAATATATTTGAGTCCCCATGTCATTTGCGCAGTGTCCATAGATGTTCAAAAGTCTTTTTTGAGCCTCAAATTTGGAATTTTAGGAAGTGTGCAAATTCATGCCAGAATTGTAAATTTTCACCACCCTGGTGTGGTCAAAATCTTCAAAATTAGACAAAAACAATTTAGTCCCCATATCATTTGCGCAGTGTCCATAGATGTTCAAAAGTCTATTTTGAGCCTAAATTTTGGAATTTTGACAAATGTGCAATTTCTTGCCACAATTGTAAATTTTCACCACCCTGGGGTGGTCAAAATCAGAAAAATTAGACAAAAAAAATTTAATCCCCATATCATCTGCGCAGTGTCCATAGATGTTCAAAAGTCTATATTGAGCCTAAATTTTGGAATTTTGACAAATGTGCAAATTCATGCCAGAATTGTAAATTTTCACCACCCCGGGGTGGTCAAAATCAGAAAAATCGAAAAATTTTTTTAGTCCCCATATCATTTGCGTAGTGTCCACAGATGTTCAAAAGTCTATTTTGAGCCTAACTTTTGGAATTTTGACAAATATGCAAATTCTTGCCAAAATTGTAAATTTTCACCACCCTGGGGTGGTCAAATTCGTCAAAATTAGACGAAAGTTTTTTAGTCCCCATATCATTTGCGCAGTGTCCATAGATGTTCAAAAGTCTATATTGAGCCTAAATTTTGGAATTTTGACAAATGTGCAAATTCATGCCAGAATTGTAAATTTTCACCACCCCGGGGTGGTCAAAATCAGAAAAATCGAAAAAAAGTTTTTAGTCCCCATGTCATTTACGCAATGTCCATAGATGTTTAAAAGTCTTTTTTGAGCCTCAAATTTGGAATTTTAAGAAGTGTGCAAATTCATGCCAGAATTGTAAATTTTCACCACCCCGGGGTGGTCAAAATCTTCAAAATTAGATAAAAAATGTTTAGTCCCCATATCATTTGCGCAGTGTCCATAGATGTTCAAAAGTCTTTTTGAGCCTTAAATTTGGAATTTTAAGAAATGTGCAAATTCATGCCAGAATTGTAAAATTTCACCACCCCGGGGTGGTCAAAATCATCAAAATTACACGAAAATTTTTTTAGTCCACATATCATTTGCATTGTGTCCACAGATGTTCAAAAGTCTATTTTGAGCCTAAATTTTGGAATTTTGACAAATATGCAAATTCTTGCCAGAATTGTAAATTTTCACCACCTCGGGGTGGTCAAATTCATGAAAACTATACGAAATTTTTTTAGTCCACATATCATTTGCGCAGTGTCCATAGACGTTCAAAAGTCTTTTTTCAGCCTAAAATTTGGAATTTTGAAAAATATGCAAATTCTTGCCAGAATTGTAAATTTTCACCACCCCGGCGTGGTCAAATTCATCAAAATCGAAAAATATTTTTTAGTCCCCATGTCATTTGCGCAGTGTCCAAAGATGTTCAAAAGTCTTTTTTGAGCCTCAAATTTGGAATTTTAGGAAGTGTGCAAATTCATGCCAGAATTGTAAATTTTCACCACCCCCGTGTGGTCAAAATCATCAAAATTAGACAAAAAAAATTTAGTCCCCATATCATTTGCGCAGTGTCCATAGATGTTCAAAAGTCTATTTTGAGCCTAAATTTTGGAATTTTGACAAATGTGCAAATTCTTGCCAGAATTGTAAATTTTCAACACCCCTGGGTGGTTAAAATCAGAAAAATTAGACAAAAAATATTTAGTCCCCATATCATTTGCACAGTGTCCATAGATGTTCAAAAGTCTATATTGAGCCTCAATTTTGGAATTTTGACAAATGTGCAAATTCATGCCAGAATTGTAAATTTTCACCACCCCGGGGTGGTCAAAATCAGAAAAATCGAACAAATTTTTTTAGTCCCCATATCATTTCCGTAGTGTCCACAGATGTTCAAAAGTCTATTTTGAGCCTACATTTTGGAATTTTGACAAATATGCAAATTCTTGACAGAATTGTAAATTTTCACCACCCAGGGTTGGTCAAATTCATCAAAATTAAACGAAATTTATTTAGTCCACATATCATTTGCGCAGTGT